AATTAAAATATTTAAAACAGTATGGAATTTGTAAAGATAAAACTGTGCGTTTTGAATTCCGTTATATCAACAACGACCATATCACGGAGGGGTTGTTTAGCGGGTAACTTTAAAGGTGAGGAGATTGACTTGCATTTTTGCAAGCTAATGGGTTTTCTTGCAAAAAAATAGAAGTGCTGGGTTTTTTTGCATTAACCCCTTATATTAAGCTTGATATCTCAACTTTAGTAATTACAATATGATCATGACATGTGTTAGTTACTACAAAATATGAACTAATTCACAGTGAAAAGTTATGTTATGCTGATTTACTTATGGCCAGTTGAAATAATTATGTTATTCTGAGTCATGTTTTCTCTGAAGCTAAACATTTTTTTGTTCACCAACACTTGAACATTAATTGGGGGGGATTGTTAGTAAAGTAGAACATCTATAAATTAATACTCGATAAATTAATAATCACTATAAATTAATAAATTTTACTGGTCCCAAGTCGGGCCAATGTAAAAATCTATCAAATTCGATAAGATAATAAGATAATATTTTTTTTGAAACTTCTATGTAAATATATGGTCCTAACAAAAACATAAATTAATAATTATATATCTTTTTGCAAATATATGTAGATATAATATTCTAAAATATGATTAATGTGTTTGCTTTTACTTAAGGTTAAAATTTCATAGGATCTTATCTCTCTAATTATTATATCAGTAGCTTTTCTTGGTGTTTTACAATATACATTTAGAATTTATGATCACTTTTTGATGTGACAATTGATTTTCTTATCTGTAAATATTTTTAAATGTATTATAATGTTATTTTCAATTTTATCATCAATAATACGGATAGTAGCCATGGTCTTCTTATAAATTTTAAACTTATAAACATGTATATTTTTACATGGACAATCTAATATGGTATTAAAATTTATTTCATTTGTGATAATTATGATTGTTAATCATAATTTACATTACAAAATTTGTTAAAATTTTAAAATATAACATTATTCCAAAGAAATTTTTAAAAAATTATAGGCGAAAAGCAAATTTTCTCTATAAATTAATAATTATTAATTTATAAATAAATTAGTATTACGATAAATTAATAAAATATTATGGTCCCGACATTATTAATTTATAGAGGTTTTATTGTACATACTTGTCAGATTTGAAGTCTTATTGAGCAATTTTCCATTCACGTAAGTTCTGATTTCTTTGAAGGTGAGAATTCCGAAGGAGCAAAATGTGGGTGAAGTTTGAAGTCCTTTGTTTCTATAGTATCAGTGAGACTTGGTAGTTTTTCCTTTCAACTATTTACCTTTAGATTTATTTTTATACTTGAAGATTTTATGATATTTCAAATTTTGTAAAACTTCTAGAGTTTCAATATTTAATTATTTATTATTTTAATAATGTTTTGGCAGTTGTAATTGTGCATGTGTGAGACATTGTTGAAGAATGAAACAATATTTGGCTAATCAAAATAAAAATTATGACTAGTTGAAACAGTTCAAATAAAAAAAAATTGATTGACATAAGATAATTTTTTATTAATGAATAATCTTCAAACATAATCACTTCGAATTACATTTAATCGAATCAAACCTTCTTAATTGTTGTTGATAATTGATTTTCAAAAGTTTAAGGGTTGCCTATTATATCTTAGTCTCCCATCATATTCTTTCTTGTTGGCTCTTTTTAGTGGCTTGAACATGTTTTTTTAGTTATTTTTTCAACAATTTCCCATTTTCTAATATAAGACTTTTTTTATTTATACAACCACATTAAAAACTAATTTATTTCAGATTAGGATTGATATGTTATTAGTAAATAATAAGAGAATATTACCATTAGGTGTACTTTTGAAAAGTGTAATTGCCAAAAAAACAATTTCTGGAGATGGTGTACTTATCTTACTTTGCTCCCATTTTTTGGATCTTTTTGTCTTTCTTTTTTTTACCTTATATTTACTTACTCAAAAATATTAAAACATATGGAACCCACTTAAATTCACTCATCAGCTTTCACACACTAAATTGTATGGAACCCACCTTAATTCATCAATTTCCATACACTAAACCGCACGGAACCCACCCATATGTATGCAACTATATGGATGCTCATGTAAATATGCACATATATTTATATAGTTACATCTATCTATAATATATGCATGTAGATATGCATGTAAATATATATGTGTATATATAGTTACATCTATTTATACTCTATGTATGTGGATATGCATATACAATATATATTTGTGTTCATGTGTACGCTACTATATGGATACATATGTGTATATATATCTATATAATTGCATAGATATCCATATATTTGTGTCCACGTAGACACTACTATATGGATACCTATGTGTTTATCACTAAACGACCAAAAAAATTAAGTTAAAAAATATTAATGAGTATCAAAATATTAAGAAAAAAATTATATAATTTATAGTGTCAAAATAATTGTTCGTTTATTTTTTAAATAATAGATAAGTAACAACAAACAATTATGGAGGGTGTGTGATATTAATATAATATTAAATAAATAAATAATATAGATAAGTAGGCAAAAGGGTTAAAACAGTCATTTGTCTTCTCCAAACAGAAGAAAAGTGTGTATTTTGGTAATTAAAACACAAAAGTCTTTTTTTTGGACATTAAATAACTTAAAAATACACCTAATGGTAACACACTCAAATAATAATCTCACAAAAATTCTGATTGAGATAACAATATCAATATCCTAAACCAAGATAATCTAGCTCCTATCAAAATTATTATATATTGATATTGATATTTTCACATCAATAGATCCTTTATCCACAACCCTTGAGAATGTATTATCCGATTAACAGCAGTCCTGTAATAATGTATATATTTACCAATATTATTTTGAAGAAATGCTTTGTTTAACTTACTATGGTATTAAACTACTAATTGTGATGTTTTTTTTTTGTTTTTTATTTTCTTAGTCTAAGTTGACTAATATATATGATATATGATAAACTAAAAATTGTAATTAGGGTATCATCTTTTTTTATTTATTAAAAAAATAAGATATCATCTTACGATTGTCAAACTGTGAAAGAATAAATGTTAACTATTATCATATTTGGAGGTACGTGGTGAGATTGGATTGGTGACTAATATTTTTCTTCCTTTTCGTCATCATACAAAGAAATTAGTCCACAACCCAATATCCCCACTTACCTCCAAATATGCTAATCATTCATTTTTATATATTTTCACTATTTTTTTTTTTGAGTTTGTCAATCATAAGACTGATACTTAATTGTAATGTTTCAAATTGTAAGATATATTGTATATATATATATATATATAACCATATAAATTTTGTTCAATTCGCTTTATCAAATACATAAATACAAAATAAATACATGATTTCTAAACAAATACAATTGGAAAAAACTGTTAACACAGAAATAAATTTTCGTTGTTATATTTCTTATTTCCTTGCCTATCTAAATTTTGTTTTTCTCTAATACCATTGCAGTGTCCTCTACAAACTAAACCTATCTATATTCTCTGACTCTCCGAAATACGAGGGTTCATCCTTATTGGGTTTGACTGGTTTTGAACGCAGTAGTTACGGTTGCGAGTGTGAGAGTTTGCGAAAGCGGACGATTGCGGTTTTGAGCGTTATTCAACGGTTTGCACGACTGGTTAAAATTTTTAAAGTGAATCTGTTTGTAGGACATTTTTGACTGGCAAACCAGCAGTTGTTTTAGCGGTTAAACATAAAATTACCAAAATAAATATCATATATAATTATAAAAAACAGAAAAACTATGTTATTATGATTAATATCAAAATCACTATATTATGGCAATTATGCTTATGTTTGTATCTTAATTTTCTTCAACTGATAGGAAAACCATGATTAGAGACTAGAACTTGATAGAAAAAGTGAGAGGTTACGATTTATATATAGGAGAAGATTAGTAGGGTTAGGGTTTTATAATTATTTTTAAAGTGATCTTTTATTTTTTTTTAATTTTCTAGCGTGATTTTATTTATTTTTATTTTTTTACCCAACCGCTACCATCCGCAACCGCAAAAGCTGGTGGGAAACAGCTTTGGGATTCAACGATATAAAACGATACGGAACGGTTTACAGCAATTTCTATATTTGTAATAAAACACCACTAACCGCAAATGCTACGTTTACGGGTGATAGCAGGTGAACCAATAAACACCTTAAGTATCCTCTCTCCGACTTTCTCAAACTCGTTATCAGATTCGTCCTGGAAGACAAATATAAGCAGCTCTTTAGACCGAAACTAGAAATTCTTTTTGGTTCGGTCTTAAAGATTATTCTTTTATAGAGTGTTGTGAATTGTGATTAATTATATTTTCAGTGCTTCGCTTACCCAAAAATTAGAATTTTAATTTTTGTCAAAACATTTATAATGTTGACGTAAATCTTCATTTTGCAATGCTATATATTCTATATAAAACAAAAGTTGGTGACGTAGTTGTTGATTTTGCTTGAATCCTTGGTCTTTTGAATAATTCATGTGGATACATCATTATTCAAAATAATCAAGAATATATTAACAAAACAAAAATTCTATAAATAGTTTAAATAAGCCTAAACGGATCTAAATGAGCTGGTGTAATTAAATCGGATTTAAATAGACACCCTAATAGACTCCAGATACTAAACAAGTTTTAACGGGTTTGATATTTAAACAGGGCGGGTCTAAATGGCTACCACCCGCCCATTCATTTCAAAGTGAGATGGATCCTCTAGTTGCAGAATGGTAAAATATCTTTGGAAGTTTAAAAAAGATAAAGCCGCCGAAGTAATTTTGTGCTTCATCTAGAAGATTCTACAGTATTAGTGCGTATGACTTCGTGATCATGTGATTGACCGGCGTAACGATCGGCACTATTTGATTTGGACGATTTGAATACTCATCTCCTCGACTTTGAGTTAGTTTTCATGTATTCACTTGACGAAAACATAAACTTAGCAATCACTAGTGCATATATGTTCATCCTCAACTTAAAAAAAATCATAACAACAATGTCATATGGAGGTATTGATAGTCAACAAGGAGAATAATAGATCTAAATTCCAGAAGAAGAAAAAGTTGACGAATTGTGAAAAAAAAAAAATCATAGTTATAAGATACTTGAGTAAATAGGGATTGATTTCTAATGAACAGCAACCATTTCAGATATGGTTACTAAGGGCTCATGATTAAAAACATACCATTTTGCTTCCACGATGAAAATCATGTTAGAAGACTTCTCGCCAGGTGCTCTCGGGCCGTTGCCAATGCTTGAGTTAATGTCTACAATTCAAAAGGCACAAAAAATGTTAAATGCATAGTCGCGTTATGATGACTATCGCTTTCCTCAAATGTAGTCATATTGCATCTCACCTGTTCAGATAGTGAACCACTTGCTTCTGCGCTCTGCATTGCTACTTTCCCCGCAATAACATTGGCATCTGTTTCCAATACCATCCTGAACATATTTTACAAAAAAACGCAAACATGAGTATGACGGTGGTAGGATTCAAACCAGTAAAATCCTTCTATATTCAATTCACCAAAGAAATTACACCATAGAAAAGGCCCATTGGCGAAAGAAGTCTCTAAATCCCCGAGCCATGCCCAAACCAAAACCCCCCAGCAAATCCACAATGCACCCAACGAATTCTTTCGAGTCTCGACTAATTGACTTAAGCTCTGTTGCTGAGTTTGCAAAGCTAATTATTCCTTGCACCTGGTTCAAGGCTTAGATAGGATAATCCTAAACTAGACTTAACAAGAGCGCCTTATCACACGGCCAGAAGTTGTTCAGACATGATCGAACAATAAATTCTCATGGTCCTACTAACTCTTTATCTGTACCCACCCTTGTTTAAGACTTGCATTATCATGGTAATAAATAATGTAGAACAGAATCGTAGCATACCCCTGATCAACCATCTCATCAAGGCACAAAAAGATGAGATCCAAATTTTCAAGTGCTTCCATTTTTTCAACATTGTTCCTGTAAGGAAGAAAGGATGCTAAACGTTAATGGCGTATATCGCTGACTAAGAAAAGGCACATAGTCATTTTTTAAGGCGAGCTAAATAACCTCAGAAGTAACGCGACAGCATCAAAAAAGCCTTGAAGAACAGATGATAAGATGAGCTCGTTTTCATTTTCACCACCCGTAACAAAGAAGTGAAGGTCCTGGGCAAACTTATAGACAACAATATTATTCTCCAACAACGTTATCTCCGCTGCAAAAAGTAACATTAACCAAAAAAGTTATACGCACCTACTAGTGATTTGAAACAGAGAATATAAACATATGCAGTCAGGAAATCAAATAAAGCGAAAAAAAAAGAAGATTAAAAAAGCTCAAGCTCTCACACTCATATATGAATGATTTCTAATGTGAGTTTTAATTTGGACTTACCTTCTGTGCGAGCATTGGTCTTAGAGGTCTTCGAGAAGACATATTTTTCAAACGCTAACTTGGCAGCATTAGTTGTCCAATCGTCTGAGTAATACTTAACAGCCACACGCTTTCCTTCAGAGTCTAGAAGAAGAATGTTCTTTACCAAAGGACAAGAATCCTGTTCATTGTAAATTGGACAATCAGCATGTAAGTATTAAGAGAGAAGCAGAAGAGGGAATACTTTAAAGATATCATTCCAGTCCAACGACCACCAATCTGTCGGAGAATTACATGGTTCAAAGCCTAAGTCCCTTGAGTTTTGAAGTGGCCAATCAGAATCTATGGCTTGACCAAATGGGACATTCAAATCTGTAATCTAAATAATAAATTTGCTAAGAACACTTAGGAAAAAAAAATGATTCAATTCAACCTGACCACCAGAAGAACGCAAAAAAAAAATGATACACATGACGAATGGCAGCTCCACCAGACATAATCCAAATTATTTTGTATCAACAAAACAAATTACGGGGAGACCAATTGTGCATAAGCAATTCGGACGCTTTCAGCAGCAAGAGGAGGTGTACAGAATTCTACCAAAAATTATGTTTCTAAGACTGTAATAAAGCTTAATCATGCTTCCATGATTGGTGCATGAATATCTGATTTTTAGCACTTTTCAAAATATTTCTTAGCCACTCAACAAAAGAGAAAAGGAAAGAACAATCTTGACATAGTGATTCATAGACAAATAAAGGACTTTATCATGGCTTCTCTTAACTCAAGGGACTTATTAAAAGTTTCATTAGATCACAATAAGTGTACCAAACCATAAAATATCACACGACAATTTGCTGCATTATGAAAACTGGCGAATATGATCACAGCAGCAACTACCAAAGCAAACACATACAGACAAAAAAAATTACTCTTACATATAACAGAATGAGTAAAGAGATGTACTTACATTAGCCCCTGACATTGTTGTTGAACCAAGATATACCTGAAAATAGCGATAATTTATGTGTTATAACCCCTAAAAAAACCAAAACTAAAAATCCTATAGACTGGAAACAAAATAACTAATCACTTTGGTCACAGAAACAAGATCACCGCTGAATACACCAAGACCTAAAAGAAGAGTATGGTTTCAACCCCGCCACGACCAAAACGACTCCAAAACTGGATTACATTTCATTAACACTAGTCTCTATGTATATTTTGATTTTCTAATCCAAAAACTTTGCCATCAGATCTCTGCTAAGCCGCGCTTTCCAATGAATGGGGACCAATAAGTTTAACAATTTCTTTAATTAATTCCTCTTACGACGACCTACTTTGAGAGAATGCACAAAACCTCGGAAAATGAATGTCATACTTAAACACCAAGATCTACAAAGAAAATGATAGATCATAAATCGCAAAAACCAGAATATACTCAAAACATAGAATCTACGGAAACCAAATCCCATATATCATTGACCAACAATGCTCAATATATCTTACTGATTCAAAGCCAACAAAATCTGATCGCAGAAACTATTAACGGTTTAACAATTTCAACCAGATCTGATGGAATCAGAACATAAAGCATAAGAATCTAGCATCCGATACATGGAAGCAAAGAAGCAGAGATCGAAACGAAAACAAAACGATTGTAATCTCGAGAAAATTACTTTAGAGATGGCTTCGGAGCTGAAGATGACTGCTTGAGCCGATGGGACTATTGAAAAAGAAATACGCGTGGGTGTGATTTTTATTTGTTGGTTGCAAAAGGGATGATTAGTCAAGGATAGTGTAAATTAACTCAATTCTATTCATGATTAAAAAAAAATTAATGTGAAGAAAAATTAATATTTTTATGTTAAAAGTGGGAAATATAGAACAAAAAAAACTTACATATTGTCTCAATAATACTTTCTTGACTTTTATCATTTTTTACTAAATTACCCTTAATTAAACATAAAAAATTTAAAATAATTCTTTTGAGAATTTTAAAAAATTTCGAAAAATATAAAAAATGAAAAACATATCTATTGAACGTTTATAGAAAAAGATTAAAAAATATTTTTTAATTGTTCTACAAAATCCAGAATTTGTATTCTAATTCTATAATTTTGGTAGATTACTATTTGTTCTATAATCTACCAAATCTAGAATATATATTCTACTATTATCCACAAGCTAAGAAGAAGGAAGATATCTTTTTCTCTCACAGACACGATAATCGAAGCTTACCCAAAATGTCTCAGATCTACTTTTTGCAAAGCTCTTTCAATTTCTTTTACCTGAAATAGCTAATTTTCTTCTCCATCCTCCAATTCTGGCCGGAAACCACCATGGTTCTACACCTGCTTCTCATCGGAGGATCTTGCTTTTCTTCTTTGCGCCGGTCAATAATATCCCATACCTTCCATCGTCCACATTCCAGCTATGTGCTATGCTTTTTTTTCTCAAGACAAAAGCTTCTTAAAGTCTTCAAAGCTGGTTTCATCCTGCATTAATTCTGTCTCCACATATGTCGGATCTGAAGAACATCGACCAAGAATGAAGACTTCTCCTTCATGGGAAGTAAGACCTTACTGGGTTTCTCTCCATGGAGATGTTATACAAAATCATCACCAATTCCGGACAGTATTCTCAGATCCAGATCCAAAACCTCTCCGCCCAAGCTTGAAGACCTCTTCCCTTTGGAATGGAGAAGAGCTCTCATGGATGACAAAAACGAGCTTCTGTACATGGACTGGTGTCACGTGCGACATCTCTCGCCGGCATGTGACCTCTCTTGACCTCTCCGGCCTCATCCTTTCCGGCGTTCTCTCTCCAGACGTATCTCATTTACCTCTGCTCCAGAATCTGTCGGTAGCTGATAAATCAGATCTCCGGTCCAATCCCGCCGGAGATCTCGAAGCTCTTCGGGCTTCGTCACTTGAATCTCTCAAATAATGTCTTCAACGGTTCGTTCCCCGATGAGATTTCATCTGGACTAGTGAATCTCCGCGTTCTTGATGTCTACAACAACAATTTGACCGGAGATTTGCCGCTTTCCGTCACAAATCTGACTCAGCTCCGTCATCTCCACCTCGGCGGGAACTACTTCTCCAGTCAGATCCCATCGTCTTACGGAAGCTGGCCGGTTATCGAGTATCTTCGCTTCTCCTCTCAGATCTGGCCTCCCTCTCATGCTTCTCACTATGTGCTCATCTCAGGAGCAAGCCGTGAACTTTGAAGAACTGAACCTCCTTCCGCTTAAAGCGAGTTTTTCTGTATCTAGCTTTGTGCTAAGACATCTTCATATAACATAAGTTTTTTCAGAAGATTTCTAGCCTAGTGCTAAATTTATTGCCGATTTAGAGGTTCAAAGATCTATCACTCAGGAAATAACAAAATTTGAAATATGAATGTGATTGGATGGAATTGTCAGGGAGCCGGTTCTGATCTGACAAAAGATCATTTAGAAGAACTTCACAAATGTTTCCAACCGAAGTTTCTATTTTTGTCGGAGATAAAAAATAATCGTTACTTTCTGCAAAACATGCAAGTTTACTTTGGATATGACCATGTTTTTACGGTTGAGCCAAGAGGCCAAGGTGGAGGATTAGCACTTTTTTATATGGATGAGCCTTCGGTTTCTATTCTATATTCGGATAAGCATTTGATAGATGTAAAAACAACTCTAGACGGACACAAAATCTTTATGACGTTCATCTATGGGGATCCGGTTGTAAAAAACCGAGAGATTGTATGGGAACGTCTCACCCGGATGAGCCTTACTAGAAAAGATGCATGGTTTATGATAGGAGATTTTAATGACATTATGGGTCCACGAAAAACGGGGAGGGCAAAGAAGATCTGTGTATTCTTTTATCCCATTTCAAACCATGTTGGACAACTGTGGCATGCTAGAGTTTCCGTATAAAGGAAACTCATTCTCATGGGTTGGAAAAAGGCGTTTCTGTAAAGTTAAGTGTTGGTTTGATAGAGCTCTGGGTAATGAAGAATGTCAATCAAGATTTCCCCACACCTCTGTGGAGTATCTGAAATTATGGGGTTCAGACCACCGCCCGGTTCTAGCTATGATACGAGTGGATAACCAACGAAGGAAAAACTCGTTTAGGTTTGATAAAAGATGGGTTGGAAAGCCAGGCTTCAAAGATGCAGTCATTTCTGGATGGGGCCCTTTTGATGGAATCTCACGTCGAGATTTCCACCAAAAAGTAGCAAACTGTCGTAAAAGCATCTCCATTTGGAAGAAATCTCTTCCAACTAATTCGGAGAAGATGATTGAGGAATTAAAGAATCAACTAGATGTAGCGCAAGACGATGAGAACACCACGACAGAAGAAATAGAAGAGATCAGGAGAAAACTCTGCACAACGCTTCGAGAAATCTATTGGCAACAAAAGAGTCGGGAGCGGTGGCACAAGGAGGGGGATAAGAATACCAAATTTTTCCATGCTCTAACCAAACAAAGGAGAAGTCGGAACCGCATTATCTCCTTAAAAGATAATGATGGAAATTTGGTAGAGAATGCGAAAGGTATTGAATGGGTGGCGTCCAAATACTTCCAAGACCTTTTCACTTCGTCACAGCCTACAGATCCAGAAAATGCACTCCAGTATATTACCGAGAAAGTCACAAATACCTCTAATCAGCTCCTGCTTATGGATCCTTCAGAATCAGAGATTAAGGAAGCCCTATTCGATATCAACCCAGACAAAGCTCTCGGACCCGATGGAATGACGAGCAAATTTTACCAAAAATTCTGGCTTGACTTTCGCCATGATATAGTTAAACTGGTCAAAGATTTCTTCGCTTCGGGATCCTTCGATCCTAGACTTAATCAAACTAACATATGTCTTATCCCTAAAAAAGAAAAGCCCAGAGCGATGACGGAATTTCGTCCGATTAGCCTGTGCAACGTAAGCTATAAAATTATATCTAAGCTTTTATATAAGAGACTAAAGAAGACTTTGCCGAATTTAATTTCAGAGACTCAATCGGCCTTCATGGCTAGACGTCTTATTACAGACAACATTCTGCTGGCACAAGAAAACTTTCACGCTCTCCGTACCAACTCCGTTTGTAGAGAAAACTTCATGGCCATCAAGACAGACATGAGCAACGTGATAACATTGTATTTTGACCACTTTTATGGATCATTATTGTATCTTATGCAGGTGTTTTAACTCTGTTTTCAAAGGTTTTTAAAGTGTTTTCAATGTTTTAGAGTTTCAAAAGACTTTACAGGAAACTTGGGCAAAAGATATGCAATTTGGAACAAATGAGCAATTTTGGATAAATGCAGACCGTCAGAAGTATGACAAGCGATGAAGACCTTCTCACCGTCTGATCACCCCCAAATTTTGAAACAACATAGAGGATCCAACCAGCTTTCTAATGCACTTGGTTTGGAGACAATCCAACGTTTAGATCTTCAGATACTCCCGATGCAAGAATGACAGAAAATGCAGTTCCGGAAGAGAGCATGTGCCGAGACCGCGGCCAACACCCATTTTCCCGCGGGTAGAGCCACCGCGACCGCGGACTTTGGTCGTTCACTTTCCCGACGACTTAATTAAAGCCCAGATCAATTCCTTTCGTTATTTTTGAAGCCCTAAGTGTCCAGAACCACCCCAGAAGCTATAAATACCCCCTTTAGGTCATTCCTAAAGGTGTGGAGACGACATAAGATAGAAATAGAGAGAGAGATTTTGTGTGAGTGCTTCACAAACCCTAGGTGGCCGCCGCCTTTGAAGGAGGAGCCGTCAAGGAGAGCATCATCGCGCCTCCATCTGTGATTCCGTTCTTCGTTCTTCTTCCCCGTTTTCTTTAATTTTCTGCACTTTCAATACTCTGTGATGATTGTTTACAATATGTTTGAGTAGTTACCCAGTTGGGTTTAAAGGGATTTTTCAAAGGGAATTTCATGTGTCTTTGCTTATGAATCGATAGATTTAGGATTTATAATCTTCTAGATGTTCTTCGTTTGCCTTTAATCTTACTGCGTGATTCTTTGCTGGCCACTTAGAAGCCGATCTGATATGATATGTTGCGAAAGCTTTCATTGATTGTCTGAACTAGGGTGAAACGAGCAATTCTTCTATAGGAGTGGAAACCTACCTGTAGTTGAGTTGTGAATATTGATGAGTCTTGTTCTGCTATTGCATCTTCTCCCTTCCAGAATCAGAGTGGAAACCTACTGATTAGGGTTGCGAGAGATAGTTGTTTAGTGCTGCGAAAGTAGGCTATTCATACTTCCGTACCTCGAGTTCTAGAACATACGTAGTTGATTACCTTTATCATATGCTTGAAATCGATATAGCCTAGACCATGAACCCCTGCGAAACCCCTTGAGCCCCATCGTTTGTCTTTAATTGTTTACAGCCTTCTAGTTTCAATCGATTTTTACCTTCAATTTAGTTTGCTTTTCATTTGCTTGTTTCCATTATACTTTCAATCGCTATTTACTTGCCTTCTATTCGCTTTGTTTAATCGCTTTTTACTTGCTTTGCCTGCTTTAGTTTTCTTTCAATTGCTTTTTATTTGCTTTCTAGTTTAGATTTAGTGACAACCAAAAACCCAAAACCAAAACCTGTTTAGTTCTAATCTGATTTAAGCGTTGCAGTGAATTCGTACTGAAACAACTAAGTCTCTGTGGATCGATACCCTAAGTACTACAGCGCACATCTGTGCACTTGCAGACATTTAGGGATTATAAATTTAAAACCTGAAGCTTAGTAAAACGAAAACAACCAACCCCATTTACAACTCGCATCACAACGCTTATGACCGGGTAGAATGGAGTTTCCTTGAAGCCCTTATGATCAAGCTAGGATTTTCAGAGAGATGGGTCAGAATCCTAATGTTCTGTATCTCCTCGGTCTCATATCAAATCCTTATAAATGGAGAACCGAAAGGAAAGATCATCCCATCCAGAGGATTACGGCAAGGAGATCCCCTATCCCCTTTCCTCTTTATCCTTTGTACTGAGGCTCTCATCTCGTTACTAAAAGGAGCAGAGGAGGAAAATCGCATTTGTGGGCTGAAAGTAGCCCAAGCAAGTCCACCGGTTTCACATATTCTCTTTGCTGATGATAGCCTCTTCTTCTGTAGAGCGGAAATTCAGCATGGAGCCGAGATTTTCAGGATTATTGATACATATGGAGGGGCCTCGAGACAACAACTTAATTTGGGGAAATCCTCCATTATGTTCGGGAATAGAGTGGATCCGCTTTTAAAGCAAGGCATCAAGAATGCTATAGGGATATCATCAGAGGGCGGCATGGGGATGTACCTCGGCCTCCCAGAGCAGATCTGTGGATCAAAGAAGAAAGTCTTCTCCTATGTTCATGACCGTCTGAGCAATCGGGTCAATAATTGGTCTGCAAGACTTTTTTCCAAAGGTGGAAAAGAAATTCAAATCAAATCCGTTGCACAAGCCGTCCCTACGTACGTCATGTCATGTTTTTTATTGCTCCAAGGAGTGACGGATAAATTGCGGAGTGCCATTGCCAATTTCTGGTGGAGCTCAAAACAGAATAGTAGCGGAATACACTGGATTGCTTGGGATAAGATCTGTGTCCCTCAGGATATGGGAGGCCTCGGATTCCGAGACTTACAAGACTTTAACCTAGCCCTTCTAGCAAAACAGCTATGGCGTCTTATCCAATATCCCTCATCACTCTTGGCTCGGGTCTTAAGAGGCAGATATTTTAACCGGTCCGACCCTCTGGAAGACCGGAACGTTTACTCACCATCCTATGGGTGGAGGAGTATAATGGCCGCAAAACCGTTTTTGAGGATGGGACTGAGGAAGACAATTGGATCGGGCCTAAATACGAGAGTGTGGAGCGAACCGTGGATTCCTGACCTTAGAGCTTGACCGCCTAGACCAGCCCCGCATATCGGATTCCAAGAGCCGGGAATCCTGGTATACTCTTTCATCCGCCGAGACACCAAACAGTGGGATGTTCCCTTGCTTAGATATTTTTTCCATCCTGAGGATATTCCCCTTATTCTCGGGGTGAGACCTAGCCAGACCCGGACCTTGGATGGATATGCCTGGAATCATTCCAAATCGAGACTGTACTCAGTCAAGTCGGGATATGATCTAATTAGAAGAACGAAGATTGAACGAGAAGCTGGAGCGTTTAGGGAACCAAGCATCACGGCCTTACAACGACATGTTTGGAGAGTTCGTTCACCTGGGAAGATGAAACACTTTATGTGGCAATCTTTATCTGGGTGCGTGGCGACATGCCAGAACCTCACATACCGACATTTGGGTTCCGACAAATGCTGTCCCCGCTGTGGGAATCCTGAGGAAATCATAAACCACCTACTGTTCTTATGTCCCCCGGCATTACAAGTCTGGGCGTTATCGGACTTTCCGTCTCTTCCGGATGTCTTCCCGAGTACTTCTATTTATCAAAATATGAGCTTCCTCTTTTGGAAAACAAAAGAGCTAGGCATGACGGATCCTACAAAGGATATTTATCCTTGGATCCTATGGTTTATTTGGAAAGCAAGGAACGAGAAGATCTTCAAAGGGAAAGAAATTTCTCCGGAGGATACATGGATACATGCAAAAGTGGAAGCAGAAAGTTGGAGAGTTGCGAACCAACCTGAAGACAGCGACGACGCTCAATTTGAGGAAGTAGGCCTTCCACCGGACACCATTGCGATACCCGTGGTACCGCAAACCCCAATATGCCGGATTGACGCCTCGTGGATCAATCACAGACAGGTTAGCGGCCTCGGTTGGAGCTTTGTGGATGGCGGAGGATTTGAACTTTTTGGACTTCAGGGATGCCGTAGAAGCTTCTCGGCCCTCCATGCCGAGATGGATTGCCTCCTCTGGGCTATGTCCTGCTTGAGAGAGAGACGGATATTTTCGGTTCACTTTCAATCCGACTGTTCGGATCTGGTGCGTATGACTGAGGTTCCAGCTGATTGGCCGTCCTTTAATGCAGAGCTAGATACCTTCCGCCTCTTTGAAGAGAGCTTCTCAGAGTGCACTTTATCTCATATTCTGAGGGATCTAAATGTCCGGGCGGAAAGTCTTGCGAAAGGAGCTCGAGCAAGAGGCGTTATCTTTTCCCAAATCGATCATAACAAGCTCACCAATGGTGGTCCACAGATCACTAATACGCTGGGCCAAATGTGATTGTACTAGATTGATAGTGGAAAAAAAAAATATATATATATTCTACTATTTGTTCTATGTTCTACTAAGAGTTAGAATACATTTTCTTAAATTTGTTTATATTCCACCAAGTTTTGAATACATATTCTAACTCTTTCTCTATATTCTACATTATGTAGAATAGAAATTCTACAATTGTTTCTTTTTTCTAAGGACTGTAGAATTTGTCTTCTGTCTAAGTGGTTAAAAAAATCTGAGAAAATCTAAGATTTAGACTAACTACCCAAATCAAAAAACTTAACAAATTTTTTTTGGCATTATCTTCTTCGTTTCTTTCACCTATTTTCCACTTGAACTTGGAAAAACATTGTCATAGCTTTCAAAATTAAGAAAACTCTGCAGTCATCAGTTCTAGTCCACGAAGGTTTGTTTGTGTGAAGAAACCTAAGCCATTCTTCTATGGCTGTCAAAGCAATGTCGCTCATAAGTCATAACTCATAAGAGGGTTATCCATGTTTGATATAGCCAATTTGGGATCAGATTATTGAATGAATGCTCAAGATCAAGGTTTATATATAAAGCAACTTCTTTATTGCTTTAAGAAAATAACTCAAAACTTAAAGCCCTCAAACTCATAAGTTATGCCACAACTTGGCATCTCCTTATATAGAGGTTTAGATAACTCCTAAACCTATTGGATAAACACAACTTAGAATATTTCCTATTTTATTATCTTTACTAATCATATCTCAACTAGAAAAAGGATAACTTGCTCTTCAAGTCTTTTTCTTCTTCAAGCTTACTTCAACAATCTCCCCTTTAAGCTTGAAGTCTTCCTTGATCACTTCCTTAACTCCAATGAGATCTCTCATCTCTTTAAGCTTGACTCTTCCTAGTGCCTTTGTCAGAATATCTGCCTTTTGCTCTGTTCCGGGAACATGTTCTACACATACCAGCTCGTTCTCAACGCATTCCCGTATGAAATGGTACTTCCTGTGAATGTGTTTGCTACGACCATGAAACACTGGATTCTTGGTCAAGGCAATCGCAGATTTGTTGTCTATCCGCACCACTACTTTCTCACATGCTGAACCAGTTACCTCACTAAGAAGTTCTTGAAGCCAAATCGCTTGCTTTGCAGCTTCGGTGGCAGCCATAAACTCGGCCTCACATGACGATAATGCAACTGTCTCTTGCTTCTGAGAACACCAAGTTATTGGACATTCATTGAGATAGAAAATATGTCCACCTGTACTCTTCCCATCGTCTATATCGACATTATGGCTACTATCACTATAGCCTACCAAACCAGTATTCTTGGTGCGAGAGAATGTGAGACCATATGCAGATGTTCCTCGCAGGTATCTTAATACTTGTTTCAAAGCTGCTCCATGAGACACCTTTGGATCCTGCATGTATCTACTCAGTACTCCAACGCTGAATGAGAGATCTGGCCGTGTGTGTAGTAGGTATCGAAGACATCCAATATTTCTCCTAAATTCCGTTTCGTTGATGCTCTTCTCTTCCTTTGATTTAGACAGATTCACTCCCAAGTCCATTGGAATATGGACTGAATTACATTCTTCCATTCCAGATTCTGACAATATCTTCTTTGCATACCTCTCTTGCCTTAGTGTAATGCCATCTTTATCCTGGAATACCTCAATACCGAGATAGTAGGTCAACTTTCTCAAGTCACTCATTTCGAACTTTTTCGACATCTCTTTCTTAAACTCTAGAGTCAAGTCCAAGCATGATCCAGTAACTAGTAGATCGTCGACATACACAGCTACAAGAAGAAGTTTCTCTCCCTCCTTCTTGCGATACAAGGAAGCCTCCTTTGAGCATCTTACAAAGCTTAACTCCCTTAGAATTTTGTTCAACTTATTATTCCATGCTCTAGGTGCCTGCTTGAGACCGTAGAGTGCTTTGTGAAGTCGGTATACCTTGTTCTCACTTCCTTTGATCATGAATCCTTCAGGCTGGCTTACATAAACTTCTTCTTTAAGCTCGCCATGAAGAAACGCAGTTTTGACGTCGAGGTGATGAACTTCCCAACCGCTTGACGCAGCTAGAGCAAGTATGAACCTGATCGTTTCAATTCGAGCCACTGGAGCGAATACCTCTTCAAAATCAATACCATATCGCTGAACATATCCCTTTGCCACTAGCCTTGATTTGTACTTGTTTATGCTCCCATCTGAGTTTCTCTTAATCTTAAAAACCCATTTTAGACCGATTGGTCTTGCTCCAGAAGGAAGATCCACTAAGCTCCATGTTTTATTTTTCTCAATAGAGGATAGTTCTTCTTCGCAGGCATCTCTCCATTCCTTGAGTTCTTTTGCCTCCTTATAGTCCCATGGTTCATCGTTTGCAGCTAACATGAGACGTTCGCTCTCAACCTCTGCTAAACATACGAAATCATTTAAGTAGGATGGTCTCATTCTTGGTCTTGTGGATCTTCTTAACAGAGGTAGGGAATCTCCTTCTTCATCTATATTATCGTTCTCATCTTCGACATCAGGCTGTGAATGCTCTGTTTCGAGCTCCTCCTCGTCATCAGTATTCACCTCCTCTGTTTCCTCTGTTTCCGTGACCCCTTCTTCTTCTCTTACAACTTTATCTTCGCAACCTCCAAGATTAAACGTGATCACCCCTGTATCATCGTTAGTTTCTTCCACCGATTTTCTCCACTTCCAGCTTTTCCTCTCATCGAAGATCACATCTCTGCTAACCACAATCTTTTTACTCTTTGGATCAACCAGGCGATAAGCTTTTGTACCTGGTTCAGTCCCTAGATGTACTAGCACACATGATCTGTCGTCCAATTTCCTTAAGTGTGGAGACTCTGTTTTCGCATAACCAATACATCCAAAGACTCGAATGTGCTCCAAGTTCGGCTTCTTCTTCTTAAAAGCCTCGTATGGTGTTTGTGCGACCAGTGTTCGTGTTGCAACCCTATTTAAAAGGTACGTAGAATGTCTTACTGCCTCGCCCCACAAGTAGTTTGGAATATGCATGTGTTTCATAATGCTTCTGGTCATCTCTAGCAATGTTCTGTTCCGTCTTTCTACTACTCCATTCTGTTGTGGAGAATATGGAGCAGTTAAGTGCCTTTTGATGCCAGAATCATCACAAAACACTCTGAATTCTTGAGACAAGAACTCTCCTCCCCTGTCCGTTCTGAACGTCTTAATAGAGGTTCCTGTCTCCTGTTCTACCAGTGCTTTAAACCTTTTAAACTTGTTAAAAGCTTCACTTTTCTCCTTTAGAAGCAACGTCCACATGTAACGCGAGTAGTCGTCAATGAGCACAAAAATGTATCTGTTGCGTGCTGCTGTAGAAGGACTAATTGGCCCGCAAAGATCTCCATGCACAAGTTCAAGTATTTGAGAAGCTCGATACTTTGTTGCTTGTGGAAACGATTTTCTTGTTTGCTTTCCGAGTAAACATGAGGAGCATGTGTCCTTCTCCACTCTGATACTCGGTATGCCTGTCACTAGTTGTTTCTGTATCATCATCTTCATACTTTCTGAACCAATGTGACCGAGCCTTGCGTGCCATCTTGTTGATTCACTAAGTGTCATAAGCTGTAAACACTTAGTGCTCTCTACTTCCATTCGGACTTTGTAAAGCCTATTCTTTGATCTATTAGCCTTCACCAGCATCCTTCCATCTCGATCTAACAAAGTTAGATAATCATTCTTCATCCTAATGTCACACCCTGACTCTGTAGC